TCAACAAGTTGTAACAATGCTGTTATTTCATCAAGTTGCTATTGTTGAATTATTGAATTACAGGACGATAACAAGTCTGTTGAGCTCAACGACCTTGTATAGCAAGTTGTCAACAAGCCGTTGACAACTTGTTAACAAGTCGTCAACAAGTTGTATTCGCACTGCTTGTCCCAAGTTGTCAACAATTTTGTTAACAACGTGTAACAACCTTGTTGCAAGGTTATTTCAACAAGTCTTATTACAAGTTGTTAACAGTTTGTTCCAAACTTGTTACAACAACTGGGAACGAGCAGTGCGAACACAACTTGTCGACAGCTTTGCGTTTTTACGTGTGGGACTTCGTCAGCCAATTAGTAATCCAACTCTTGTGTTTGAGAATTGCTTTTTTAAATTTTTTGACATATTTAGATGCACAGTACAAAATTTTGATTATTGATAATTTTTCATTTTAAAAGACGTGCGACTTGCGGGTGGTTCTCACAATGAAGGACGGGTAGAGGTTTATTTTAACGGCACGTGGGGAAAAGTTTGTAGTTCCAATTGGAGAATGGACTATGGTCATGTTGTTTGCAGACAGCTTGGTTTTCAAAAAGCCGTGGGTATTTACTATTCTGGCCATTTTATCACGGAAACTGGACCGTTTTGGATGGACCAAGTTTGGTGCACTGGTGATGAATCCACGTTGTTTTCATGTCGTCATTGGGGTTGGGGAAATCATCAATGTTATTATAATGATGCCGTTGGTGTCGAGTGTAAAGGCACTCGAGGTGAGAATAAATGTTAATTAAAAAATTAAAAATTTTACGAACCAGTCATCAGTGCCGTCGGAAGGAAATTGTTATTTGGGGAGTTCAGTTAAGGGAGTTCTGAGTGTCTCCTATAGTTTTGTTTAGCAATATATTGATTAAGTTTGATCGATAATTGTCTTGTTTTGTGGACATTTTTAGAGTCTTCCACAGTAAAACCATCTTCTACTGCCAATGTACAAGGTAAATGAAATATTTTGATGTGGGTACATGTTTTAAAAATGCATCTTTTAATACAGTAGTAGAATTCGTTGGTTCCATCATTTCTGCCACTCTACTAATCGTTTGGTGTGCTAATGTATACGACTTGGCTGTCTGGCATAAAACGGATTGGGTATAGGCTAGGTACTAAATTATTTTATTTCAATTTTCGTATAGCATCGTCGGTAATCACGTCTCCAACAGCAATCAGTTCCAGTGTAGATCAAGGTGATTTAAAAGTGTTTTTTTTTTAGAAAAATTGGAATTAGCCATGAAAATGGAATTAAAACCGTTTCAACCTTTTTAGATTTTGGACGTTAATGCCCCCCATCTTGGCTTCACTGAAGTTCTTGCACGATAGAATTCGCTGCTCTAACTTGAATCCTCACCCAATCCTGACACTAACAAGCTCACTCACACTCAATGAGTGGAAGTTCAATCTGAGCTTCTCTCGAGTTTCATTGCTGTTTTTGAATAGCGGCTGGAGGGCTAGTGTCGTACCTATTAACTATGTGACTACTCACCCTCCAGCCATTCAAACGCAATGACACTCGAGAGAAGTTCAGATTGAACTTCCACTCATTGAATGTTAGTGAGCTTTTAGAATACAGGCGTAACACTAAGGCCTTAACCCAACTTTAACCAACTCCACACTCATTCCGCGTGTCTGCTCTTTTCATTTTGCAGATGAATCTTCGACGGTGACCCCAACAGTGCAGTACTGTAACTCATATTTTCATTTCTGCTGTCTAAATGGTCAATGTATTGATCGAGGCGATGTTTGCAATGGTAGAAATGATTGTTATGATGCTAGTGACGAAGTTTACTGTAATTTGACAGGTTGGTGGCTTTTGGAGAAGTGGGACTTGGGATCCTTACACACGTAAAAATTTCACAACTTGTCAACAAAATGCGTTCCCAACAGGCTTGTAGCTTGACAACAACAATTCATAACAATGCTGTTATTTTATCAAGTTGCTACAAGATTGTCACTCGCAACTTGTTGACAAATTGGTGAATTATAGGACGATAATAGGTTGTCAGAACAACTTGTAACAAGTCTATTGAGCTCAACAACCTTGTAGCAAGTTGTCAACAAGCTCTTGACAACTTGTCAACAAGCTGGGAACAAGCAGTGCGAACAGATCCTGTTGACAAGTTGTTGGAACAGCATTGCCACAAGTTCGCTGTAGGTTTGTTACAACTTGTGCGTTTTTACGCGTGTAGTTCCAGACTAACTTCGTCCGCCAATTTATAGTACCCCATCTCTTGTGTTTGAGAATTGCTTTTTAAAATTTTGTGATGTATTTAGATGTACACTTCAGTATGAAATTTTGATTCTTGATAATTTTTTATTTTAAAGACGTACGACTTGCGGGTGGTTCTCACAATGAAGGACGGGTAGAGGTTTATTTTAACGGCACGTGGGGAAAAGTTTGCAGTTCCAATTGGAGAATGGACCATGGTCATGTTGTTTGCAGACAGCTTGGTTTTCAAAAAGCCGTGGGTATCTACTATTCAGGCAATTTTATCCCGGAAACTGGACCGTTTTGGATGGACCAAGTTTGGTGTACTGGTGATGAATCCACGTTATTTTCATGTCGCCATTGGGGTTGGGGAAATCATCAATGTTATTATAATGATGCCGTTGGTGTCCAGTGTAAAGGCACTCGAGGTAAGAATAAATTATAAAAATTTCGAACATGTCGCAAATCTGTGCCGTCGAAAAACAAATTGTTAGTGAGTTTGGCAACCAACAAAGGCGATGACAGAAAACAAAATTAATTATACTGTTGTATTCGACCCAAAACCCACATCACTAAACTTTTAAAATCTTTCTATCTTTCTTTCAAAGTTCAAACAACCCTGAATTTGCGCTCTTTTTGCGTTCCCGAAAGCTCGGAAAAGCATTCCCGTGTTTCCGGAGAGGATTTTTTTATCGAAGTTGCGAATTTCTTTATGTCAGTAAGCTTCCAGTGGCGGAAATTCACCCACCAAGATTTCCGCCACTGTAAGCTTCTGAGCATTATTTCGCTTTGCTCGCCGAAGTATTACTGGCGAAACAACGAGTGACCTTTACTAAACCTTTAGGAAGAACAATTGATATTGCTCAGATCCAGTATAAATAAAGTTAGTTTAGTTTAGGTTTCCTCCTGCAGTAACACTGGATCAATAAGCGATGACCTTACCAGACCACTAGAAAGAACAGTTTAGAACTGATGGATCTATTCAAAACTGAATCAATAAGAGACTAAGGTTTTTTGCTTTTACAGGAAATTCCACCGTAAAGCCTTCTACGCAAGGTAAATTCGACATGTTTAATCCAGAAGAGAAACTTTAGACGACGCTAATAATTGATATCAATTCACAATCATGTTCCTTCATAGGACGTCCAACACCAACATGGAACGCAACATTAGCGTCAACAACACCTCGTCATTGTTTATCCGGGGCGTTCCAGTGCAGAAATGGCAGATGTATCAACAAGAGTAGAGTTTGCGACAAAAATAACGACTGTGGAGATAACAGCGATGAACTCCTGTCAATTTGTTCAGGTAATGTCGCGAGAAGTCTCAGAATAGGCAAAATAAAGGCTTATGCTGTGGATGAAATAATTATACTGTTAGAAACTTTCAAACTGATCTGCCCCTTTCGAAGCCAAACAGATGATTTCTCAAAAGAAGCTTTAAATATAGCGGTGCTTATCTTTGGAATAGCCTTCCACTTGAAGCTAAGCAAGCTCAATCAATTTACTTTTTTAATATTTAAGAGTTGTATAACACAAAATATTCGATGTTAATAATCGAGTATCTGAGACACATCACCGTATAGCTTTGATACTGATGCATGTACATATACTGTAGTAGTAGACTTAGTTTTCTTCTTTTTTATATTCTTTGTGGTATTTTTGTATATATGGACGCTTCCTGTGGAGATTTTGTAGTTGTCGGGGCTGGCGTCGTAAAATAAAGTGTGCAATAAAAAATAATGGGTTTGTTAGAGTCAAACTCTAGGTGACTCTGCAGGTCGTCTCTGCTCACCCGTAAGGGCCGTAACTGAGCTGAAATATTTTCGGTTTTTACGAAAGTAATTATCGAGTGCTGACTGTACGGACAGCGAACTATTTTCACAGAGTAAGACCACACCTTTCATTAAATCTTCATGTTTTTCTTTTTCCCCTTTGTTCATATTTATCCTAGACCTACAGTGGTGAAACTTTGTAAAATAATTACTTTACTTGGTTTTGTTTATTTTTTCCAATAGTTTTTAACCCTCAATTTCAGACAACCTTCGTCAGTGACATGAAATTGGTTTCTTAAATGGATAAATTCTGTTGCGTGTTTAGATGTTAGTAACTGCTGAACATTTTACTGCTAATTGTTAACATTTTTTAATTTTAGACGTACGACTTGTTGGTGGATCCGATCACAATGAGGGGCGGGTAGAGGTTTACTATAAGGGTAAATGGGGAACAATTTGTCATGATTCCTGGGATATAAACGATGCTGAGGTTGTCTGCAGACAGCTTGGTTTTCAAGATGCTGAGTCTAGTCACAAGTATAGTAATTTTGGTGGTGGGACTGGACAGATTTGGCTTGGCGATGTTAAATGCGGAGGTCGTGAGTCATCGCTATTTTCGTGCAGACACAACGGATGGGGAAGTCATCTTTGTGGTGACAATCACAATAAGGACGCTGGTGTTCGCTGTAGTGGCTCTCGAGGTGAGAACAGATGAAGTATACTCTTTCGACTAAAGTGAAATTATTAACTTCTTATTAACCGAGCACGAGGTCTGTACAGAGCCGAAATATCGGACCGAGGTCTTTTCTCTGTAAAGACCGAGCAAGCGGGGTTAATAAAAAGTTTATTATGTGGCATTTATATTAGCCTGCGTGCAGGCCCAAGGGAACTGATAGTGGGCCGGCAACCATCACCCCATGTTTTCGATTTTCGCCGGCCGAACCGCCGGCTAAATTCCCATTGGCTAGCTGAGGCGATCGGTAATTAATTAACCTAGCGTGCAGGCCCAAGGGAAAAGTGATTCATCACAAAGGCATAGACAAAGGCTCTCGATAAGCTTAAAATTTGAAAATTGATTACTTTTCGATTACAAATGGAACAAGAACAGACTGTTTATTGTTTACTTGAAGGAAGACATGTTTTTGCCGTTATGCCAAT